GGGGAAATCAGAATTTCTGACCCTTTTCAATGAACTGCTCCTTTCTTGGTAATGTGCTAAAATAAGTAGTCACTAATTTTTCGGAACAAACCAGTTTCTCCTTATTACGAAAATTACAACGAAAAGTGGAATATATGGAAGAGAAGATGGTTGCCATTAGTGGGTATGGAATTCTAGGAATGTGATAATAAGAAATAAAGGAAGTGATGGCGTCGGAATCTAATTAAGGACAGAAGCATGTGCAATTAATTATATATGAGAAGTTATCCAAGCAATATGAAACATGTGGTTGAGAATAGGGATGTTGATGGGTCGAACCGAATCGGATTTTTTGAAAAATCGAACTGAATTGATTTAAATGGTTCGGTTCGGAAGTTGTTCGGTTCGGTTAGAAACGGTTCGGTTCGGTTCGAAACTGTTTCGGGTCGACCCTCTTTTGAAAAGAAAAGAAAATTTAAAATTTAAAAAATAAAGTTATAAAAATCAATTTGGTACAGTTTGAAAACGGTTCGGTTCAGTTCGGAAACGGTTCGATTCGGTTCAAAATGGTTCAGTTCTTAAACTGATTCTAAAAACCGGTTCGGTTCATGAACTAGATCTTTAAAAATCGGTTTGGTTCATGAACTAGTTTTTAAAAACTGATTATTTTAAGGACGGTTGGGTTCAGTTCATGGTTTGGTTTAATTTTTTGGTTATTTTGTACATCCTAGTTGAGGACTTGAGGGGCGTGGTGACTGGACCAGAGTAATCAGATCAAATGAATAGGCCAATGAGGTCTATTACTGTATTACATTACATAATTCAAGTGATTGCGGCCCATTAGGCCCAAAGTGAGGCACATACATGGGGGTGATACGTTGTACTTGTACACTTTCTTTGCATTGTTTGTGGGGTAAACTATCTTTGCTTTTTTACGCTCCCACTCGACACACCCGCGACTTGGAGATGCATTATTAATTCATGCAATGCAAGTAGCTAGGTCCAATTATCATCTTCTTTTCTGATCTGTATTTCTCATGCACGTGCATGGCTACCTTTTATATAGTTTGTATACCACTATCTCTCTATAGTGTGAGTGAACAGAGAGAGGGAGAGAGAAGACAAGTGAATGCAGGGATAAGGCTGCAATTTTAGTGCCTTTCCAACTAAAATTTCGCAAAATGAAGTGGTAAGCTTTTCACATGAAAATGAGCAAAAAAGCAGCAACCTGTCAAAAACAGATCGATAGGGAATTAGATTCCAACACCACCAACATCCGATGTTGTACCTTTAACCGTTAAAAAAAGATATATTAATAACGGACGTTTAAAATAAAGATCGTTTACACACTTAGTTATTTTATGTGTGACAAATGATAATTAGCCTAAGAAATTACCATAAATTATAAGGCCAATTCACGGCCAAAGAAATCCATGATCATAAAAATAAGGTCTTCATATGTAGAGCAACGGCTTTTAGCCACACATATAACGTGGAGCAATATTATATATATGCTTTATGTAATTACATGTAAAAATATGCGAAGAAATGAACGGACTATATGTGATAATATTGTTTACTTAACCAAGCTTATTTTATCATAGGAGGACCTCTATTTGTCGCGATACGTTTTTTATTTTTTTCAATTTGATCTTTAACTTTTCAGGTTCTTCTTGCTTTCCTTTAAGAAGGGAGGAAGGAGACGATATGAGTTGCTGAGAGATACAAGGCAAGAAATGAAAAGTGGATTCTGTGGAGGTGATTGGCGTTTCCAATTTACATTTTTGGGAGAGTCCACGTACTACGAAGTTGAAGCACCGCCTCTATAGTATATATTCCGTAGAATAATTGATGGGTCCCACAAACGCCTACGTGGCAATAAGGATTCCCGACCGAGATCATCTGATGACAAAATGATTGATCATAGATGTTGATTCGGTATATAGGTGCATCACTATATTTATGCTATCATAATTCATACATAACACGGCAATGCTTGACCCCACCACCCCGACTCCCATGCACAATGGCCGCAAGAACCTACCTTTGTCCAGTGCCCCCTCTCCCTCTCTCCTACTTAGGAGAGCATATTCAGTGCTCCGGGAGCATACAATATTTAATGGGATAGAGAACTGAGAAAGAAAAAAAAAATTAATGAGAAAGACGAGAGAAAAAAAGATTAATTTTTTTTAAATCAAGTGTCAAAATTTCAATTGAAGGACCACGGTGATTCTCATGCACTATAATTTTTTCCTTCTCCTATATTACTTTTGCTCCATTTTTACTTGTTTTCCACTTCATAATGTCTACCTTTTTTTGGTTTTTCTTATAAATCAAATGTATCCTCTACAGAAGACAATCATGTTCGGGAGCGTGTTCAGGATTAAGTCTTTAAACAGCATTAGGAATTTTTTTTTTTTTAATATTTATAATCAAAATGTTCAAGATTATATAAAATAATCAAAATCAAAATGTGCTTAAGATATGTGTTTTTTAATGATAAGAGGTAGGTTATCATGAAACATTTAAATGAACTTGATTAATCAAGACTTTCATTGGAGTCCTCCCGTATAGCGAGAAATCTTGCACGAGGGGTATAAACTCAATGAAATTCTAGCGTCAATGTTTGCATCGAGAAAGGAAAATATTATTACCCCACAAGTGGTTGGTTACTTAGATTCATATAAGATTTTATTCTCTTATCTATATAAGCTACTCAATTTGTATCAGATTTTTTTTTTTTGATCATTTACGAAATTTCAGTTTCTCAATTTTTCTACATCTCTTACCATGTTTTTCAATAAATGTAATGTGGAGGGCTTAGGCTGTTCATAACTGATCCAAGTTAACGCGTCTTATAATTTACATCATCAGAACTAAAAATATGGGATGAATTTAATTTGTTATACTAATTGGCAATCGCACTACAAGCTTTCATTGACATAACGCATAAACAGCAATAAAGGGGGGCAGAAATAGATGAAATATTAATTATAAAGCACTTTTAATCTTTATGCTGATAAATTGTAAAGTGATAAAAGTTTAAACATGTCTATATTCACAAAATATAGCATAGCCCTCCCCTAAATCCGTCACTGCTTTTCCTTGCTATTTGACGAGATTTAACCTTTACATATTAAAGTTATTTTGCAACTTATTTGGGCATGCACATACAACAACAGTATACTCCAGCACTGAAAGCTAAGTTATATGAAAAGGGCAGGAATAAAGAATGAAGCTTAGCATAAAAATTAAAACCATTTCTTATCACCTAAGAAACGACATTGATCTCACGATGCTTTGCATTTCATTCCTCTTTTCCGAGTCTGAGTGTGATAACATCTTGTTTCTTTCTCTACCACATTTTGGGGGTCTCGCACGGTGGAAAAAGGGAGCTCAGCAAAGCAAAGTAACAATTAATAGACAAAGTAAACAAACAGTCACATTAATTAATTGGCCGTCATCAATTCAAAGTATTAATTATTGAAGCATTAAAGTTAAGAGGCAACAAGAAGATTTTGTCTAGCTACTTAAAAAGATGTATTGATGATAAAGTCGGATAAACTTAGCATTTTATGCCGTGATGTCACTAGTGTTGGTGCTGTGGCCAAAAAGGATCTAACCACACAACTTTAAGCCACTAGTTCACTGGGGCTTAGTATATGAAAAAGTAAAGCAATTAATGTCTAGCTAGCCCCAATTATTTCTGTATATGAAACATATTTATATGTTACATATTATAGTTTTGTAAATAATTTCCGCATCAGCGATTTCCTTTCGAATTAATAATTCTCTTTAATTAATACTCCTCTTACCGCAATCTTTGCAAATCGTATTTAGCCGAATTCCGTATATTAGTGGGTGACTCAGTGGGTGTGTTGGATTAATAGAAGTAAAATGACAAGATAGAAATTGATTTGATATATCTAAACACGATGAATGCTTTATTATTGCCAGTGTACTGTTTAATATTTCCTCAGGTTCTCACATATTCACTTATGAACATAACCTAAAAAATAATTGGAACAGAGGATTAGAAAAAATAAACAAAAAAAAGGAAGGATTTCGCGTTTGGTAAATCTAAAGTTTGCCAGATAATGTCAATGTAACAATGTTATTTACAAATCATTTTTATTAGATCATTCTCATATATTACTTTTTGTATATTATAACAAGAGAAAAATACATTAATACATTCCCTTTTCCATTTCTTTAACAAGAAAGTTTAAAGAATGATATAAAAAATGGTATAAGAAAAATAACTTCTCAAGTTCTCATGTCAATATATATCTCAATAATTGGAAGACCCTTATTCGTGATATGTTCTCAAGTGCATTTCCAATTGGCCATTCTACTTCTAAATGAATCAAGGAATTTTTTTTGCCTTTATTCCATTTTTTACTCATGTAGTATTCCGGTGGCGGAGCCACTTTAGAACCAACAAGTGTCTTGGCACCAGCTAATTTTCAAAAATAATTTGTTTTTTATTTATAGAACTATGAAAATAACAACTTCCTCCATAGTTGGCATTGACTGATGTTTGGCACAGGCTAAAAATTCTGTACGGCTATGCAACTCTAGTATTCCTTACTCTTTGGTAATTGTATAATGAATAAAAATAAATACTACAACAACAACAACGTATGAGCTCTCATATAAATCACTTATGTATACTTGAAGTAAATATCAACATTCATACATCATTTAATAACATTTTACATAATTTGATTCTCTTTTTTTTCTCATATAGATTCTCCGGTCCTTGGTAATTGCATCCACATGAGCAGGCAGTGAATGCTCTTCGATCCCACCATTACTATTTGATCAATAGACACTGATAATTAATATTGATATACGTATATACCATATGTATACGGTGTCTTCTTAGATGATGGGAGCCACTATCCCTTTTTTATGAACAAATTTTGAGACAAACGCGTCAAAAAAGAAGCTTATAGGCTAAGATACTTCGTCCACTTAAAACCCTAAAAATATAATAAAACAAAAAGAGATGAGAATGAGAGGAACAAGAGCAAAGTAAACAAAATAAAGCCTCTTCTTGCTTTCCTCCTTCCTCATCCTCTTTAATGCTCTTTTTTCTTTTACTTTCCTGGCTCTGGTATTCCCCTAGGTGTGATTCTCCACCATCTCCCTAAAGAACCCATTAAACTTTATAAAAGAAAAACCACAAAAAGGATTTGAACACCATGGTTTTCTCTTCTATTCCACTCTATTTAGATCCTCCCAATTGGCACCAAGTAAGGCTTTTCCTCAAATTTCAGCCACACTTAAATCTCAACCCTAAAAAAAAAATAAAAAAAAATAGTTAGCAAACCACAAAAGAGAATTATTTATTCCTATTCCTTGTAATATCTTCTTGAATATACCAGATTTTAACTGAATAATTTTTTCTTTTTTTGTTCTAGCTTCTTGATTAATTCATATATGTTTTGCAGCATCCAAATCAACATCAAGCAAATGGCAGTGAAAGTACTCATCTGCTTCCACCGCTACTTTCACAACCACAACCACAGTCATCTCACGGTGCAAACCGGGGTCAGCCGGCAAAGATACCGGTACCGGCACCGGAAACAGCTCTGAAGTGTCCTCGGTGTGAATCCACCAACACTAAATTTTGCTACTACAACAATTATAGCCTCTCTCAACCTCGTCACTTCTGCAAGACATGTAGGCGTTATTGGACAAGAGGGGGTGCTCTAAGGAACGTTCCAGTTGGTGGAGGATGCCGTAGGAACAAGAAGAGCAAAAGGAGTAACTCTAAATCTCCAGCATCTAATGAAAAACATTCACTTCCCAATTCCACAAGTGCAATCCCTTCAGGTGAGGTAATTGGTCGTTTCCCACAACCAAGTAATAGATCTTTCATGTCCTCGTCTATTCAGAATCTGAACCACTATGGTGGTGTTCAAAACATGAGCCTTGGCATGCGTGAGATCCAAGCACAGAACAATCATCATATGGGGTTTGGTCTTAGTTCAACTGGAGGAGGAGAAGTGGATCAGTGGCGCTTTCAGCAATTTCCTTTCTTCAATAATTTTGAGCCAACTTCAGCTGTTTCGTTCCCATTATTTCAAAGTGAAAGTACTGTTGATCAAGCAACCGCTGGTAATTTGGTTGGAGATGTTGCCACGACTTCTAGGGTTACTAATTTACCACAGCTTAAATTTGAATACAACGGTGGTCAAAAACCATCTCTGAATATCCCAGAAAATAACCATTACTATTCATGGACTGATTTATCTGGTCTTGCCTCTTCTTCCACTAGTCATCTCTTGTAACTTTGACCGTTCATACGGTCAAAAAATCTTATCACTTTTCAACACCATGTGGCACCATCTTTGGTGGATCAGAGAAAACACTCCCGAGTTAATCAACTCAGGCATGGTAGAATTTGGTGGTCTTCTTCTTGTATATTTTCTTTGTCATTGATTTTATTTATGTTTTTTGGCATAAGTCGAGTTTCTTATGTACTATTTGTGCTTTCTTTGTATAACAGTGTGCACGTATTGTTCTATGTGTTTGCTATATCTTACGTTATGATATCATTTGGGTTCAAAATTTTCTCCTGAATTTACTTACACTTACCTGCTACATCGCGCTTGGTAGCTCAACCTAGTCCTAGTGCACAAGTTTTTTCCCACGTAGTATAAACCAAAGTTTTTAATTTTTAATTTTAATTTTGGTAAGCCGATAAAGCAGAGTTATCAGGAAAGAAGAAAAGTGATAATGGTACAGTACTAAAGAACGTGCCACTCCACGTTAACATTTATCGAGGCAGTGTCTCTCGGGATAAGTTTGTTAGAAATTTCAAGCTTGAGCACTTTTTTTATATCTTGCAGCCACAACACAAGTTTATATTATCTTAATTTTGAGAAATACTCTTAATGCAAAGTTTTAAATTTGGTTAATTTGGACACAGATAAATCCCATGTGGCTGATTGTGATCCTGATTATTAGCGAATTGTAGAAAAGATAGTTCAGATGACTAGTCTGAATATTATGGTTAGTCACTCTTTCCCTCTTCCTCTTTGTTTTTTTCTTTTTCTGCTGGTTCTTCTTTTTCTCTTCCATTTCCATATAACTTGAGTGCCACAGTCATTTAATGTCCATAGCTCTTTACTTGTCCTCTAAAGTGTGGCAAAATCAGGATTCCGAGGATGCTCGAATCATTGTACGTTTGAGCAGATTCGTGTTGGGCTGTTTTTGCTTTTTGTTTTTTTCCCTAAATTTAAATTTTCAGTTAACAGTTTCACCTGTCCAAGCTCTATATCAAGAAGGATGTGTGTGAATAGGAAGGAAAAAAGAGATAGAGAAAGAGAAATTAAATGAAATTTAATATACATTCTTCATCTGTCAACTGCCAAGACTTATGATGATGTAATTATCAAATTAGATTCATAAGATGGGACATGCATATTTGTTGGATTTGAGGTTGAAAGTTGAAGTGAGATGGAACCAATCTTTAGAATACGCCAAAATCCCACTCAAAACCATGCAATTTTGTACTCGACCAAACTGAAGTGGGTGAGTATTCTAGAACTTGTTCAGCAGAATGATGCAAGATACATAACACCCATAATTAATATGAAAAATCCTTTTGGGCCATGCTATATTATACCCTTGAAAATTAAAAAATAATTTAAAAGACTGGTCAAAATTATTGTGACCTTTTTCTACGTATCATTGTAATTTCTCTCTGCCTCTTTGGAGTTATCTTTGCGCTTCCAAGTTAATTAAACACAGGTCTTCAACACTAATAATTAAAAACTTTATTATTCTAATCCCACTGAGAATAATATAACGAAATTATCTTATAAAAAAAAGAAAAAGCATTGATGATATAACTTTTCTAAGGACCAATAATAGTGCCTTTGAAGAACGAATAAAGCAACAAGACCAGCAGAGACCAATTCAGACAAAAGCTCTCTCCATCTCTGTGCTGTCAGCTAGTATTGGGAAAATGTCGGTGTGAGTGAGTCACAAAGAAGAAACGTAGCAAGTTTTGAAGGAAATTAAAGAAGTAAAGAGCAGTGTGGGTTAAATTTGCAGCTATATGGTACGGATATGAATCAAGAAGGGGCTCAAAAATTCATGCATGCTTTCGTGGAATGGAGTGATATACCCCTCTTTTTTACTTCGTTTTTGAACAGTGCATTGAGCATGTATAACTGGCCAAACATGCACCGTTGATCGTTTTGAACTAAGCGTGATCTTTATGGGTTGCAATATTTGCTGCTTCTTTTTTTTTAAATTTTGTATACCGACCCAAATTACTTTTTTTTCGAATATCCCAACAAACTTTAACTCTTTAAGTTGACTATAGAATTAATCCTGAGTTGAGATTGAGTTATAGTTAAAACTCATCGTCCCTCCCAAAAATATATTTGATGGGAATCGAACTCATATATGTTGTCAATTTTGGTATTCCACTGAAACACGACATCTCGATGTATAGTGGTAGTATCACACTTTTCTCTTGTGGCAGTGGTCAACCGTAACGGTGGAGAAAACACAAACATGGACAACTCAAGCCCCACAGCAATCGGGATTGCAATAAGGAATGCGTAGTCCCAGAATCAAACAAAGCATCAAAATCGCTCGTTAGCTTTCTTTAATTTGTCTTGTCTCTCTTTCCTTTTCCTGCTTTGTTTCCCTCTATCATTTGCATCTTCTAATTCTTTTTCTCCTTCGTCTTCTTGCGTTTCTAGCATTTCCCTTCCTTTTTCTTTTCACAGATGCGTGGGACCTCGCACATCCATGGCATTTACCATTACCAACTTAACATAGATAGGTGCAAATATATTTGTTCTAAATGCAATACTATTTGTGTTAATGAGTTCCCCTGGGAATTAATCTATATAGTATATTGATCAAATACTTAAATATCGTGAGGTGCGTTATTGAAATGTCAACATCGTGTCATCAATAGGTGAAATTATATTTTGATAAACTATTTACAAAAATTGAGTATATGTGGAATATATTTAAAATAATTAATTCTGAAAGTTTAAATAAAGTAAGAATGAGTTTATGCTTGATCATGCATAGTTGCTTACTCAAAATTAGTAATTTTGTAACCGTAGGTTTTTTGAATAAAATTTAGTAAAAGAGCAGTATTATTGGATAAGAATGACTTTTTATGAAAATTGTGTTAGGAATTATTTTGAACTAATAACAAAAACGATATTTATATAAGCAAAGAGAAAAAATCATTTTGTAAACGTAGGAAAGGTAGAATTACTTATATGTAAGACTCAATTGGGTAAGTTTGAGAAGTAGATTTCAAGTTACAAATTGACAAAACATGGCGTGAATTGCGGAGCAAGCTGGATTGAGATCCGAAACTCATCTTCATTAAACCAGTCACATTTGTTGATGATTGATTACAAATTGATTAAGTAATCATCTAGCTCAGGCATGTTGTGTGAAGTCATTCCCGTTTTCTTTTTTGTTGATTGATTTGGTGATTGGATTCGATTGGAGTTAATTGGAAGTAGTTACTTTTTTTTTATACAAGTGAAAATTGAATATATAATTATCTAATACAAACTATTAAGTCTCTCGTTATTATACCAAATCTAATGACTTAATTGGAAGTAGTTATTGAGACATAAATAGATAGCAAAAAAAAAAAGTAATTATTACCAACAAAGCTCAGTACATTTGATAGATAATTGGGTTCTTTAACTATGCTGACAGGGGTTCGATTCCTGGTCGTGATATGGAAAAGACTTTGTTGATAGAGACAAAACTTACTCTAATAATCTTTATACCTTTAGGGCTTGTTTGGAGCACCTGATAAAGAAGATAGGATAGGATAACTTATCATATCCTACTTTTATCTCTTGTTTGGTGGGTCAATAGGTATGATTAGCTTATCCTATAGTCTCATTTTATCATATCCAATACATGATTTCTTATCTATGGGGGGAGCTGGGTTAGAATTCAACAAGATAGGATACCAATATTGGATACCCAATATATCCCCACACCTTCCAATATATTTGTATTTATTGCATTATATTTAGTTTTTTCTTTCTCTTTTCTCCTTCTACATAATCTTATCAGATTGCTAATCAGGTGTTCATCAAACACATGACATGATATAGGCTTATCAGCCCCATATCATATCCTACCCTTAACCTATCATGTCCACCAAAGGAGTTCTTAGGGGCATTGTTGTTAAAAACTCGATTTATCACTACGATTTTACGTTCTTATGATTTTTTTTTCCCCAGAACGATTTTACTAATATTCCAAACGGTTTTACGTTTTTACGATATTTTTACATTACAATTTTACATTTTACGATTTTTTAATCCTCTTCCGATTTTACTTAAGATCTCGATTTTAACAATATTGTTTAGGGAATTATTAGTCTTCGTCTGGGGATATTTTAAGTTATATTCAAAATAAAAAATAAATAAAAGAAAGTAATCATTGACGTCCGTGGGGGGAAAATAATTGATTTTGTGAATGGGTTAAACTCAAATATGGCCCAATGAGGTATGTGCATTTAGGTAGGGTCACACCTCACATAGATGAAGTAAGTGTCAGTGGCGAAATTAATTGATGTATTTCTGGTATGCAACGATAAATTTCAAACTTAAATAATAAAATCAATGTGGGCACCTACTTAATCACTAGGGAACCTGTTATTAGGTCACCTAAGAGATATTGCTCATCCCCCGTATCAAAGAAGCTTAAGAAACCTATAAGAAGTTAAAATGCAGTGATAAGCAAACTGTATTAAACCTCAAAAGACATTACATATATCGCTTCATGTCAAAATTTTTTAATAATATCCCTAAATTTATAAAGATACCCTATGAAATAAAAATTAAATAGAAAAAACACTGGATCCACTCATATTAAAATTTTATATCAACAAGTCATATAAATTTTTTATGTCTATCTTTCTCTTCACATGTAATAATTAGGCAAAGTTCAATTATTATTAATAAAGATAAAAATAAAAATTCACATCAACCTCTTCAATTCCTTTTGTGGGCAGCAGTACTTTTCCAACCATCTCATCCTAGGCCAAAGACATAATTTACCTTTTGAAAACCAAAGCATTAATTGATTGAGTATTACTATTTTGCTCCCCCTCCAACACATCTTCATTTATTACAACACATAAAACATACTTATTACAGAGACTAAAGACTTAATTAAGCTAGTTTCGTACCAAAGGAACTTAATTAAGCCTACATTTAATTAGAAAATAAAATATACTTTTTTCCTTTCAATTCAAATAGTTAAGAGGCAAATCGTTATAAAGTACTCTCATTTCAAATTAAATCACTTCTCTATATATTTTATAAAAATATAGGGAAGAACAGATTGGTTTGCTTGAGTATTTTCAATGAATATCTAATTGATGAAACCCTAGAAAAATATATTTAGTTTAAGGAAAAAGTTGTGTCATTTTAAATGACACAAATTGTGTCATTTCATAGATATAAAAAGATATAACTCACATCTTTTTTTGTCTTTATTTATTTTTCCAGTGG